CCCTGCCCCGGGCTTCCTGGAATCAGCCGCTGATCAGTTTCAGCAGCAGCTGACTTGGGGACGCCTGGGTTTCTTAAGTTGAATCTGTATGTAAGTCAGAACTGGCATCCAGATTCAGCCGCTGTTGAAACTGATCAGTTTCAGCAGTGGCTAAATCTGGACGCCAGTTCCGACTTACATACAGATTCAACTTAAGAACAAACCTACAGTCCCTATCTTGTACGTAACCCGGGGACTGCCTGTACACAAATTGCAGGCAAACAGCACAATATTGTTATACCTAATACAGGAGAGCCTGAGTATATAAATGAAGCAAGTTCCAGTTTCCAGAACAGGGTCTTGAGCAATTGCTGAAGTACGCACTCGTGTGTGTCTCCATGGTTTCAGAACTACTGGGCTGCGTCTAGACTGGCATGATTTTGCAGAAATGCTTTTAACGGAAAAGTTTTTCCGTTAAAAGTTTTTCCGCAAAAGAGCGTCTAGATTGGCATGGATGCTTTTGCACAAACGCATCCATGGCCAGTCTAGGCGCGATTTTGCGCAAGAAAGCTCCGATCGCCGTTTTTGCCATCGGGGCTTTTTTGCGCAAAACAGTTCTTCCCTGTCTACTCTGGCCCTCTTGCACAAAAGCATTTGCACAAGAGGGCTTTTTCCCGAGCGGGAGCGCCAGTGTATTTGCGCAAGAACACTGACAATCTTACATTAGATCGTCAGTGTTCTTGCACAAATTCAAGCAGCTAGTGTAGACAGCTGGCAAGTTTTTGTGCAAAAGTGGTAGCTAGATAAGCCAATTAACTGTCCAAGCAGCACCTGGAGGATGAGTCAGGGAGCAGGTATTCATTTGTTGAGACTCAACTGCATGGGGGCCTATATAAAGCCCAGGATTTGGGAGATGCTGTAGGAAAGGAGTCTGGAACCAGACCCTGGCAGAAGGGAAGCTGCTTTTTAGGACTATGGAGCGTTGTCCAAAGTTAATCCCTGGGAGGAGGGAGTTTGAGCTGGCAAACCCAGCAAAGGGAGAGATCGAGAAAGGTGGGAAAGGAAGCCAGGGATAGGATAGGGCAGACTTTGGCTGCTGATGAGAGGGGCCCTCAACTGGAATCTGGAGAAAAGGGCAGGCCCGGGTTCCCTAACCAGCCAGCTGGGAAGTAGCACAGACCAGGCAGTAGAGAATGGATTTCTTGGAACACTTTATACTTGCTGGAAGGCTTTGTTACCCTGGAAAAGGGGAAACATGTAGCGTGACCTGGCTGGCGGGTCAAGTCGGAAAGGCGTCGCCCCAGGACTTGCAGAGATGGATGGAGATGACGATGGCGGAGAGGCTATCAGAGGAGGGTGCAACATTGGAAAGGAGCTAATCCCTAGAGCTGCTAGAAGGGGACATCCTAAAGGTGAGTGTGTAACCCATACACCTCCTGGGTGTGGTTTACTGTCCCAGGGAGTGGCTGTTCTTTCACTTACAGTGAAACAAAATGAGTTTGCTCTACAGCATGAACTGAGCGCCAGCTGGCTTATAGTTAGAGATGGTCTTGAAACAAAGCACAAAACACGGTACATTGGAACTTTGGGCAAATTCAGAACCTCAATCCCACTTCTTCATGGTCCTATCAGAGGGGAACATGATGTTCTCTCAGTGCAGGCTTGTTTGTGTGTCTAATCCATATATGCTGTTTGTCAAGTAGTTGGTGAAGCATTCCTTGTCTGGATGGGAATCGGAATGGGATACTCGGTACAGTACATCCCTGCATTTTGTTGTTTCCTTTCCTTCCTTCCTTTCTTTTTTTTTTCTTTGAGCTGCTGTGTGAAGCGACTCTGGTATGTGCCTGGAGATGAGGGAAGCATAGCTGGTTCCAGCTGGCATGATAAAGCTCGAGAGAAAGTTCCCAGGAGATCCAGACTTCTTAGGGCATTGTGTTTAGATAAAGTTTATAAAAAGAACGAGACTGAGAGGAATGGCTTGCTCAAGGGTTGGTGATGGTGTGGAGATACATTAGGAAGTGCCATTTTACATGCCTGACATAACATCAGCTGCAGCAGACCGGCACAGAATCTGGAGCCCGGGACTTGGTAAGCAAATTAAAACAAATGAATTCTCAAATATGCTTGTTTTAAAAAACATTCATGGGCTTGGAAGCACTCTCTCCCCTTTCCAAGACACACAGCTCAGTAGCTTTCACCTGCTCGGTGAGTGCTAAGAAAATAACAATAATAATAAAGATAGTAAATCTGCATAACATCTAAAGCTATGTCTCTTGGTAACTCTAGCAATAATTAACATTTTCTTGCACTGCGATAGTTAGGCAAAGTGATATTAACATCCCACCCTTGTCAACCAGGAATCAGTCCGTTAATTTATGGAAGATGTTCCAGTGATCTGTATTAGTTAGACTCCGTACCCTTCCTAGTCTTTCCAGCTTTCACCATGCTTCAGCATTGCATGGTAACTGCCGGGATGTGCACACATGCATGTGTGCGTGCGTGTAATTGTTTGGCAGGTCCCCATATTTGTGGAATTGACAACCATCACTGCATATGTAATGCTGGGAACAGCTTTTTTTTAATTTCAGGTGTGTGATAAATTAGGCCATCTGTCTTCTATGTCCATCCCCTTCGAAGGCAGTCCGACATGTCATGCAGTCAGCCAAGGACAAGGTCCCAGCCTGACGTCTGCAACTTTCATTCTTCTTCGAGTGCTTGCTCATGTCCATTCAACATAGGTATGTGTGTGCCCGCCACATGCACTGGTGCTGGAAGTTTTTCCCAAGCAGTACCTGTTGGGGCTAGGGTCCCTAGTGCCCCCCGGAGTGATGTGCACATGCCATGCTATATAGGATGCTCCCCGGCCCCTCCCTCCCTCAGTTCCTTCTTGCCGCAACTCCAACGGAGAGGAGGACAGTGGGAGGTTGAGTAGACATGAGCAACACATCTCGAAGAATGCCAGTTACAGAACAGGTAACTTGTCTTTTCTTTGGTCGCTTGCTCATGTCCATTCAACAGAGGTGACTGTAAGCAGAGTCTGAGAAGGTGGGTAGGCGTTATGAAAATGCAGACTGCAGTACAGCCCTGCCACATGCAGCATCCTCCCTGGCCAGCTGCGTGATGGCATAATGACATGTGAAGGTATGCACTGATCACCACATCGCCACTCAGCAAACGTCCTGGATCGGGACATGCACAAGGTAAGCATGCAATGAAGCCTCAGCTCTAGTAGCATTGTCCCTGATCACTGCCGGTGGCTGGGCCTCTGCTGACTCGTAGCACGTATGAATGCAGGAAGTGATCCTCTTTGAAAGTCTCTGGGAGGAAATTGGGAACCCCCCTCCCTCCCTCTGCATAGGCCACAAAGAGGGGCATGGACTTGTGAAAGGGCTGTTTTCTCTCCAGGTACAAGGCCAGTGCAGGCCAAAGGGTTTGGTTGTGCCAGGACAATGGGTTGTGCCCAGACTTTGTTTCTCATAAAATGGAAAGGGAAGAGTCTGATAGAAGGGACAGTTATACTGTAGAATGACCACAGGGGGCAGCAGGGGGCCAGAGATGGGGACCCGGACAGCTCTAATCCCATTGGGTCAGCAGGGGTGGAGAAACAAAACTTATTTGAGTTAATGAGCTGAGCAATGCCAAGTGAATCTTCCAGTTTTACACAATTACTGCTGACATTTTGCTCAGCTTCTAGGATCACTCTTATGACAGAATCTCTTCTGCCTTCCACTGAGTCATCAGTTGTGGTGGCTTTTCTTTATACCTGCCTGAAAAGGTCATACATCCTGTAGTACACTTTTCATTCTTCTCTTTGGCTGGTTTCCTGGAATCCTCAATTACAGTTTTCTAATCTGGGTCCAAATTGCTATGAGGACTTTAACCCAAACTGTATTGTATTCTCTGTGTGATTTTTTTTTTTTACCTTTTGTAATTTCAGTTAAGCTATTAATAAGCGCTGAAACATAATCAAATATGAGCCATTTAAAAAAATCTTCCCATGCTCCCTATGAAGCAGGTCAGTAGTACCTTCTCCCTGTGGAGATAGAGAAATAGATTCAAAGAGATGAAGTGATATGGCTAAAAATTTCCAGAGTACCACTGTGAAATAGAAGCCTACATCTCGCTGACCTTCAGTGGAACGTATATGTTTTTGCAAATTTTTAATCTTTGGTGAGGGGCTGACAGTCAGGGCTAGAGACCTAGAGCAGGGGCGAGGAACCTTTTTTGGGTTGGGGGTTGTTGATCCACAGAAAAATCAGTCGGGGGCTGCACACAAGCGAGAAGCAAAAAACCCAACAAACCCTAGCGATGTGGCCTCCGACTGAGAAGGAGAAAGAAACTTCCCACATATGCACACCAGAGCCTAGTGTGGCCCAGGCTAGTAGATCATGTGCTCCAGCCCCACGGGAGGACAGCAGGGTTGGGGGAGGCTGGAGTACCAGTGGGGCTCCTCAATGCTGGAGTGGGAGGGGAGCCTCAGGGGCCAGATCCAGGCAAGCCAGGGGCCACATCTGGCCCCTGACCCTCAGGTTCCCCACCACTGGTCCTAGAGGAAGAGAGAATTGTAATTATAAAGATGCACTGTAGAAGTTTGTGGGTTTTCCTCTTTGTTTCTGTTTCTGTCTGGTTTACCAGCCCATCACCACCCTGTGTTTTGTGTGGCTCACCATTCAGCCCTTGCAAGTCTTGAAAGATTTTTGGAAAGCAGACACACAGTATATATCTAATGAAACAGCATGACTTGATGGACAGCATATTTCTGAAGGATTATCAGAGGCCTGGGGCATGTTGTGAGATGTGAGGCTGAAGGCCAAGAGCTTTCAACCCCTTCAAGAGCAATAATCTGTCAGAAATGCTCTGTCCTGAACAGTCTAGACGTAGACTCTGCACAGAAAAATGATTAAGAAAGAGAAAGGAGTTTGACTGGCTCGTTTGGTGGGACTTGTCTATTGTTTTTCAGGAACAAGGCAGGATTTCAAGTCAGATATTGACATTCCATCATTTCAATCAACATTTTTTTGGGTCAGATGAGACTTTCAGGGCTTGACAGCACACTAATAAAACATTTACAAGTGACATGATCCACAAATTATGCAGATGGATGGGACGCTGCCAAAGTGGGTATTTCAGTTGGCTTGCTTTTCCTCCTTCCGTGCTCCCCAAAAACCAACGTAACAGATTCTTTTCCAGAAACTCTGGAAGCTGAGCCTTAGGCTATGACAAATCAGTGGGCCTCTTGGTGATGTCCCAAAATAGTTTTCAGACTCATCATTTACTGTCGCCTTTGCTCGTTGAAGTCAGTGGCCATTTATACCAGCAGAGTGTCTGGTCCCTAAACTCCTTCTTGTCTCTCAACTCTTACGGCTTCTTCCCCTCTGGGCAGAACTGGGATCATTACAGAAGGAAAAACTGCTGGCTTCCGGTGCCTTTTCAGCACAGAACCAGCTTGGTATGATGGAAAGCAGACTCACTGAAAGGTAGAAGGGCAAAAAACCAGAGTGGAGAGGAAACTGCTGAGCTAAGGAGTGGTGTCACCTAAGGAGAGGTGTCCGAGGGATCAAAGACACCGGGGATGCTGTCCAAAGGAGTGGGGGAATGTTCCAAAGGACTGGTTAGAGAAGCTAGAACGGTTCTGTTGGAACATAGCATGGGCAGTGGGCTGGTTTTCATCTGGGGTTCCACTGAAGAGCAGACTCAGCCAGAAAGTCTCCCAGCTGTTAAGGAATCTGATCAGAGGGAGGAGAATGCTCTAGTGGAGTGATAGAAGAGAGGGAAAGCAGAAGTCTGACAGTAGCTGGGCAGCATGGTCACAGTGGACTTGTAAGGAATGCCCATACCAATGAAGAGCCAGATCACCCCGGTCCATGTCTTGGAGGGGCCTCAGCAATTTGTCTGCTGTAAAGACCTCCATTGAGCCTCTGACCGGGGTATTTACTGAAGAGATTGAAATAGCAGCATCCCCTGAGTGTAATGATTCAATCTGGCATCTGACAGTGGACAGGGCACAAACAGTCTGTTCGGTTGGGATGATTTTGTTTTGTGTTAACCTTCCAACAAGGGTTTATCTGGGGGCACCAGGAATTATGATATGAAATACTCCAGCGTGGAAATTCTGTATGGGGCTGATCGGCTTCACATTGGGTTAACCTCTAGTAGTCCATGAGCAATCCAGAGCTCCCACTGCAAAGGTTCTGAAGCATTAGTGCTTAGTAACAGGAAATCCTAATTCTTTGTGCCAAGGACATTTCTCCATCATATCCCTGTGGTGTGCCAGTGTCTGGCTAAGAAACTTTCAGTGTTTTCATTCTTTCCCCTTATTTTTTCTAACCACCCCCAGGCTCGTCTGAAAGATACAGGGTTTATTTTTCTCCAGCTTTGGCCTATGTGTGCAGTTTCCTGATGGGTCAAAACAAATCCTTGAATGCAAACACTTTCCAACATTGGGGAGGCTTGGGTCCAAATCTGGACTGTGCACCTTGTTTTAACAGATTAAAACATGGAACAAGTCATCTCTAGATTCCCCATTTATCACAAAGCACTGAACACTGTTGCACTCATGCTTGAACTGGATCATGAGTGATTAACTGTACATGCAGTTTTGAGGCTACCATTGAAAAGCTCTTGGGAGTCAAATGCATCAATTCATCTCTTATAATAAGTAAGTGAGCATATAACTGTTGTAGCTTGGCCAGGGCTGCCTGTCTGCTTCTGGGGGAAGTTCACACTATTAGGTCCAGCTATCTGAGGTAATGCTACACACCCTCTGTTGTATCATAGCTGTTACAATCCTCTTGGGTTCAGCTGTTGTCATAGAATCATAGAATACTACAACTGGAAGGGACCTCGAGAGGTCATCGAGTCCAGTCCCCTGCCCTCATAGCAGGACCAAATACTGTCTAGACCATCCCTGATAGACATTTATCTAACCTACTCTTAAATATCTCCAGAGATGGAGATTCCACAACCTCCCTGGGCAATTTATTCCAGTGTCTGACTACCCTGACAGTTAGGAACTTTTTCCTAATGTCCAACCTAAACCTCCCTTGCTGCAGTTTAAGCCCATTGCTTCTTGTTCTATCCTCAGAGGCCAAGATGAACAAGTTTTCTCCCTCCTCCTTATGACACCCTTTTAGATATCTGAAAACTGCTATCATGTCCCCCCTCAGTCTTCTCTTTTCTAAACTAAACAAACCCAATTCCTTCAGTCTTCCCTCATAGGTCATGTTCTCTAGACCTTTAATCATTCTTGTTGCTTAAAGGTCTTGTTGTCAGTACTTTGGAGATGAATTCTCCAGATCCAGTTATCAGGGCTTTCTCAATGAAGAGCCCATGTCTGCTTCAGTCACTGGTCCACTAGAAAGCCAGGTTTGGCTAACTTCAAGGTGTAGTCCAAGGCATCAATTTGGTCAAGAGTTTAAATGCATTCTTTTTGGTGCAGGCTCTAAAGAGAGTCAAGATGGAGCTATGTTTTGTGAATTTTATATTTAAACAATAATAAGCTGCCAAAGTGCTGAAGTGATAGGAACTATTTATGAACCCATCAATGCATTATAGTCACCTTCTGAAGCCCTGTCTAATGGACTGATCTTGTATAATGTTCGTTATCCTCAAAAACTACCTGTAATGATGTCCGGGAGCTACAAAACTGTGGAATAGTCTCCCAGTGGACATGATGGCAGTTCTGCTGCTTGACTCTTTAACACTATATAGTATATATATATATACACACACACGCACC